AACTGCTGGGGGCTGAGCACAGTGGTGGCTTGTGCTTGTAATCCTAGCATTCTGGGAAGCCAAACTGGTGGATTACCAGAGCTCACGAGTTCAAGACCAGCCTGAGTGAGACCGTACCTCTACTAAAAATAGAAAAACTAGATAGGTATGGTGGCAGGTGCCTGTAGTCCCAGCTACTTTGGAGGCTGAGGCAAGAAGCTCACTTGAGCCGAAGAGTCTGAGGTCACTGTAAGCTATGAAGCTGCGGCACTCTACCTAGGGTGACAGACTGAGTCTGACTCAGAAGGGACAAAAAAAAAAAAAAAAATGCTGGGCCCTACTCCTAGCTTCTGATTCAGTAAAAATTGATTCTGTAGTTCTGGGTTGGGGTCTGAGGAAATGTTTTTTAACAAGCACTCTAGGTGATTCTCAGCCATGGGTATGTCAGTTCAACAAACACAGAACCCAACCAGAACCCAGGCTTGACTGTCCTGCTGCTGGCTTGACGGGTGATGTCAGTCACTGCCCTTCTCTGGGCTTCAGTCTTGCCACACATGAAACAGGCAACTGGAAGAAACGCCTGCAGCTCAGTCAGTCCTCCGAGACTGCCACGTGAGTGTTGACTGCCCAGGAGCAGCACACTCACCACGGGGACTCTGGCCTGAGAGGCCACGGGCACACAGAAGCAGCTACGTGGGCAGCATTAAATACAGTATTGCATACAAGTAAAGCCTTTCTGTGATTGTTGACCTGATTTGCCACACTTGAATGGGAATGACCTTTGATGTTTTCAAAAAATCAAGTACCAAAGTTTGGGCTGCTTCCATTTGGGGATTGTGAATGAATTTCCAAAGAGAAATTCCCTGGATCCCAGATGAGCTCTGAGCTTGGGCACCTTCGTGGGAGTAAGTATCCAGTTGTCCCAGGTATATATAGATTTGGATGTGTGAGTTCTGGAGTTTGGGGAACAAACCACAAGTCCTTTTTTGGGGACACAATGTAATGCGGTTATGGGCATAAGTGCCTGGGGGTAGAAAGGACCCTCAATACCTATTTGATAGAAGGGCTGGAAATGGTCAATCTGAGTGGCCTGCAAGTGATGGGACAGCCATGGGGCAGGAGTGGCAGCACCTGTGTGGAGGCCCCAGACTCTCCTCTCCTGGGCTGACAGCTGGTCTCTGGGGCAGGTACAGATGGAGGTCCAGAAGAAGTGGCAGCAGTGGCACTTCCGAGAGTTCCCGCTGCGCCCTGTGATCCTCAGTTTCTTCAGCAATGGCCCCAAGGCCAGCCCCTCAGAGCAGAGCTGGAGCACTTGCAGAACCAGCATCATCTGAGAGGCTCGAGCAGAGCGGGACCGCCCATGGACAGAGGCTGAGATGCGTCCTGAGAGAGCTGGACACTGCTCTGGGACAGCTCTTCCCAGCAGACACTCCGCTCTCGCCTGTGTGGGTGTCTCCCCTTCCCCAGGCCTTGGATCCCTTAGAACTGAAGGGACTTGGGCCGTGAATCCCTGGGATTTGGTCTGTTACTCTGGGAAGAGCAACTCAGGCATCCCAGAAGGGAGTAGAAAAATAAATGGGACTTGGAATGAGATCTGGTCTGTTGGTCCTGCTACCTTGGCACAGGTAAAGGAGTATGCCCTGTAGGAGTCCTCCCTGGTCCCCCGACTCTAAATTTTTAGAACCTAGAGCTTAAAAGCCCAGGCAAAGTGAGAAATCAAGGCCATTGGCAAATCTTGTCCCTCACTGCAACTCACCTGTATAGTTGCTCTCACATGAGCTACATTAATCTGATACCGTCACAATGGAAGCCAGGGCAGCCCAAAGCCGCCCAGTCCCTTTTAGTGTCCCTGACATGGTGTGAAGTACAACCTTGTTCTTCCTGCCCTTTCATAGTTGTCCTCAGCCTGGGAGGCAAATGCAGCAGAAAATAGGACAAGATCCTACAAGATCCTATTTTACAGATGAGAAGCAGGTCTACCAAGACCCCATACTCACCCAAGCTATTCAGCAAGGAGGTGGAGTTCAGTCCA